AAAAACTTAGCGATGAAGTTTTTGAGGACAAACTGCATTCTGACACAGGACTCGAATTGCTCCAGTGTGCCCTTACAATACGATTGCGGTCACAGTTTAGGGAGTGGACATTGACGCTTCGGTGTACACGTGGGCTGCGTTTTCTGCTATTCGTGCTGCCGTCGCCCTACCGTGGCTCCTCGCCTCTGCTACAGCCTGCCTCCCTCTCCAGTGAACTTTGTCCGAAAAACTTAGCGATAAAGTTTTAGGAAAACAAACTGCATTCTAACACAGGACTCGAATTCCTCCAGCGTGCCCTTACAATAAGATTTCGATCAATGTTTAGGAAGCGGACATTGACGCTTCGGTTTACACGTGGGCTGCGTTTTCTGCCATTTCTGCTGCCGTCGCCCAACCGTCACTTCTCGCCTCCGCTTCAGCCTGCCTCCCTCTCTTGTGACCGTCGTCCAGAAAACTAAGCGGTGCCGTTTATGGAGGACTAACTGCATTCTAACACAGGACTTGAATTCCTCCAGCGTGCCCTTACAATACGATTTCGATCACATTTTAGAGAGTGGACATTGACGCTTCTGTGTACGCTGGCGCTGCGTTTTCTGCTATTCGTGCTGCCGTCGCGCTACCGTGGCTCCTCGCCTCTGCTACAGCCTGCCTCCCTCTCCAGTGAACTTTGTCCGAAAAACTTAGCGATAAAGTTTTAGGAAAACAAACTGCATTCTAACACAGGACTCGAATCGCTACAGCGTGCCCTCACAATACGGTTTCGGTCACAGTTTAGCGAGTGGACATTGACGCTTCGGTGTACACTGGGGCTGCGTTTTCTACTATTCGTGCTGACGTCGCCCTACCATCGCTCTTCGCCCCCCACTTCAGCCTGCCTCCATCTCTTCTGACTGTTGTCCCGAAAACTAAGCGATGTAGTTTCTGAAGGACAAACTGCATGCCAACGCTTTGGTGCTTCCTACCTCTGACCATTGTCCGGAAAACTAAGTGATGCTCTTTTTGGAAGGCAAACTATACTCCAACACAGGACTCAAATTTTTCCAACGCATCTCACACCACGATTTCGAATCAACTGCATTTCAACACAGAACCCTCGCCCTACCAGTCGCGTCTCGCATCTGCTCCAGCCTGCCTCCCTCTTCTCTTTACGTTCTCTGGAAAACTAAGCGATGCAGTTTTTGGAGGACAAACTGCATTCCAACACAGGGCTTAAATTCCTCCAGCGCGCCCTTAAAATATTATTTAAGTCACAGCTGATAGAGTAGATATTGATGCTTCGGTAGACACTGGGGCTACGCTTTCTGTCATGCGTACTGCCTTCGTCCTACCTTCGCTCGTCTTCTGCACTTTAGCCTGCCTTCCTCTCCTCTGGCCGTTGTCCCGAAAACTAAGCGATGCAGTTTTTGGACGACAACTGCATTCCTACACAGGACTCAAATTTCTCCAGCGTGTCCATACAATATGACGTCGGTCACAGTTGCTGAAGTGGGCATTGACGATTTGGTAGACACTGAGGTTACTTTTTCTATTATTTGTGCTGATTTTTATGCCCGTCTTAGAAAATTCACGACATCTTAGGTTGGCCCAACGCTAGTTACAGACCAGGGAACAGTGATTCAACCCTCCACTCTTTGTCTTGTTCGAGTGCTAATAAACATTCTACACCATATAGGGTTTGCTGTGCCATCCCTGCGTTCTCAATAACTCATTTTCAGTTGGGACTTTCTTGCTTCTGGTTCCACAGCTACTTGTTTTGGACGATGCGTTGTCAATCTTACTGACTCCGACCACTTGCTCAGTGGCGAAATATACAGAGTACTTAGACTCATCGCTGCTCTAGACATCGAGTTACCACCACACTAACAGCGATTAGTCTCATTTTTCTCCAACGAAGTCGACTCTGGTGACATTTCGGTCGCCCCATCGCCCAGTTTACCTAATAAAGGCATAGCTCTCGCATCGGGTGTGGCTCGCTTCAACAATAGATCAGCTGTTCCTCACTGCTACCAACATCACACCGGATAAAATTTTAGTACCGTTGGGCACTACTCTCGCCTGCGTTGCCAATCCGGAGCCTGTGTGCGTCGTGCCTATTATACCCCTGTCGCACGTGGCAACTTAAGGGCCATTTCAGCGAGTACACTTAGCCGTGAGTGTCATTCGCACGCAGTCACACGAGCAAGTTTATTGTCACTCGCTGCAAAGTGCACTTGCCGGCAAGTTCGTTCTCCAACCTCACTTCGCTGCGACCAATTGTGTAGCCTCGGCACCAGCGGCTTGTACACAAATGCGCTTTTGCCTAAAGTGGCGTTCATTCTATTTTTAAACTATAGTTATCGTTATAAGGAATTTTGCTATGTAATAAAACGAGCTATAAATCAACAAATAGTCTCGCTACTTTCACCATCAGGCAGTTTGCGCGGCCACGTCCGCTACGGGCATCCGGCGCAATGGCTGTGCAATGGCCACTTCCGTCGCTGTATTTTTTTTCCAGTCACGCTTGCACATGTGTAGACGAGTCGTTTTCTAGTCCTTTATGATGGTGTGTGCCACTGGTGATGCTTGCACGAAGACAACGTGGTTCGACGACGAGACATGGGCGCAAAAGTAACAATTATCTATTGCGCTACAAACCCAACAATTGCCACTGTCATCGCTTCCAAAGTACACTTCGCTTTCTCGTGCAGCAGCGAACCGCCGAAATGACAATTTGTGAGCGTGAGTACACTCGCTCAAAGTGTACTTAAGTTGCCGTGTGACAGGGGTGTCAGCCCGGTCTCCTCTGAAGGCCATTCTGCTGGTCGTGCTGCTTCCTCGGCCTTTGAAGCAGCCATCAGCAGATACTTCACAGGCTGACAGAAGCAACAGCTGCTTCATTGGTTGGAGAATCATGCAAACTCGTTTGACGTCTATTCATCCACCCTGGGCCAGACTACCGCTAAAGCACATGGTATTCAGACCGACGAAACATCCATTGTGCACCGCTGTCCGTACCACATCTCTCTAGCCGAACAAAAAATCACTGAGGAAAATGTAGAGGATTTGCTGCAACGGGAGTTAATCCGACCCTCAACCAGTCTTTGGTCGTGTCACATCGTTCTGGTGCCTGAAAAAGATGGTTCAATACGATCTTGCGTCAATTACCGAGAACTCAATAAAATCACTAGAAAGGACGTATACCCTATGCCACGCATCCACGATGCCCTCAATCCCTTACAAGGTGCGGAATTCTTTTCGAGCCTCGAACTTGCATTCCGGCTATTAGCAAATCCCCACGCACAAAAATGATAAAGGAAAAACTGCGTTTGCAACACCGGATGACCTATATGAGTTCAATCTTATGCCTTTTGGTCTATGCAACATACCCGCTACTTTTGAGCGCATGATTGACACCGTGCTGCGTAGCATAAATGAAAGACTTGCCTATGTTACCTCTATGACATTGTTTTTTTATCGACGTTTTTTCAACATGTGCAAAGCTTGGAAGAGGTCTTGACTTGTCTTGCGGGCACTAGTATTTAAATAAACACCAAAAAGGGCCATTTTGCCAGCACATATATCAAGGTTCTCAGTCATGTCATGAGCAGGGACGGAATTTTCCAGGCCTTAATAAAACTGCTGCTGTGCTTTGCTTTCCTCGCCCTGACAAATCGAAATATTTGCGAAGTTTTCTTGTTCTCGACTGCTACTTTCAGCGATTCATACGAAAATTTGCCTCAAGAGGTGCACCACTCCATAAGCTACTTACTTCCGGTGTGTCCTTTAAGCGGTCTCAGGAATGTGAATCAACTTTCAAATTGTTAAAGAGTGCCCTCACGACGAACCCGTTGCTTTCTAATTTTGAAGATGACTCGCCCAGCCTTCTGCACGCGGACACTGGCGGCCGTGGTTTAGGAGGCGTGCTCCCGAAACGCGACAACTCTTTGCAAGAGTCCTCTCCACAGCCGAGAGGAACTGCACGATTACCGAGCAGGAGTGCCTGAGTTTCATTTATTCAGTACGAAAATTGCGTCTCTATCTGCATAGCCGTCATTTCACCATTGTGACCAACCACCCTGCTTTATGTTAGCTTTCGACACTCAAGAACTTGTTGAGACGCCTCAGCCACTAGATTGAACGCCTGCAAGAGTATGACTCCGACATCATATACAAGTGTAGCAAAAACTGTAGGGACGCCGACGCTCTTTCTCGCTGCCCACTACCAGCAGCCCAACTCAGCGTTTCCGCAATCACTTTGCACAACACACAGACGGAGTCAACGTCTACGGTGGTTCCCTCTGTAGCCTCTGTTGGCAAGCTGCCTTCGGACGACGAGCGCGATTTTCCTTCTCGACAGCAGGCTGACACATACTGTCAGTGTATTATAGGCTACCTCACTGGCAATTCCCGTCCACCTAAAGCGATGTTCCATCGCCAGCTCTCGCAGCTTAAGCAGGGCAACTCTGTGCTGTACGAAGAAATTTACCATCCTTATGGTCAGCGCTCGGCTCCTGTTCTACTCCAATAGCATTGGTCCCAAGTCCCCAGAACGCTTCTTGACGAGTAGACTGCTGGGCACCTTGTTTACCATAAAACCTGCGACCACCTTCAAAGCCGTTCTTAGAGCTTCAGGGATGACAAGTGAAAAAAGAAAAAGCACACGCGGTGAGGTCATATTGAACGGGCGCGCGAAGTGGAGAACGTGGCAGGCCAAGAAGATGGAGACGACGGCGGATGTTCTGGGCGGTTTAAGTCTTGCCGCAGTCTTCAGAAGCTTGAAAGTCTGCCCGAGTTTCCACCTCGGTCAGCTGTCACACTCATGCTTTAGGCATCATACTGGCCAGCTGTGCAGTGAGCTACCGGGACTGGTCAGCACGTGCAACGCCGACCTTCAACGAGCCCGGGCTCGCAGCCTCCCGTCTTTCCCACTACGGCGTATGAGCCAGGGTTCCTAGAGGCATTCTAAGAGAGCCTACCTGCAATGGGTGTACCAAGTGAAGGACAGGCGAGCACCTCGCATCATGCGCGATAAGACCTTCAGCGATAGCACCAAGGACTCGAGGGACGAATGCGGTGAGTGACGATAGTCTGGCCACGCAACCGATGGTCGCCACCCTTAATTCGGGTGGTAATAATGTAGAGGCCTACTGACTTGGAAAAGAGGACACGCGTTTAACGTAGCCGTGGTGGGGCGTAGTATTCAGGGTGTCTTCTAATACTCACTGTAGACAGCTAAATGGACGGCAGCCATCTTAGGTCACTTTTCCATTCTGACGTAGCCGGCAGAATAGACAGCTCCGAGAACACGGCAGCGTAGACAAATACGGACGCAGGCTACTTTGCTGTCTAATTAAGGTGGCGGCCTAGCGAATCACTTAGATAAATCGTATCTCGTTGGAACTGTCGTCTGCACACAAGCAGACGCTTCTGCAGCAGCTCAATGGGAGTAACATTTAATATTTTTAGATATATTGTAAAATCAGCCACAAAATACAACTGTTACGTTTTTTTTTTTTTTGCTTTCTCCTCTCGACGCGAGGTGGCATCTAGTCGAGTAAAAGCCATCCTAACGTGTTCCAATTCTTGGACAGCATGCGCTCCGTGCTGTATTCTAAGTAGTCTGCGTAGACTATCTACGTGCTGTCTAAGAATTCGAACACAGCCTTAGTGTGTGGCTTTGTGCTTGTCTATATGCTTCGTAGTAGTTACTATTCATGTTTTTCAGGAGAAAGAAGGGTGTTTTCGTGCCACCCCGTGTCACCATTTTCTCGTTCTTTTCGTTTTCTCCAATGAACCAAGCCGGGTGGCATCATCCTTGACATTTTGGCGAGCCTGCTCAGGATCCAAGAATTTTTGTCACGTGCCTTGGTTTGTTGTGAGTGGCGGGATCACCCTGGAACGGTTGATTGCAGCGGGACATGCCGTGGGTTTATCGGCAGAGGACATCATGAAATTGTATGAAGACGAGAAAAAGAGATTGAGGGATGAGTCACCAGGAGCCCTACAGGCTGCAAAAGAACAAGAAGAAATGCACAGGGCGGAAGATAAGCGTACCTATAGAAATGTGATGCTAGAGAAAGAGCTAGCGGAAGAGAAATAGCAGTTGTGCACACAGATCGGTGGCGAAGGGGCAGCGACGGTATCTAGTACTGCACCCCAGAGGGTGGACAGGGTCTGTCCCCAAAAGTTTATAGCGCCCTTTCATGAGAACGGGGATGATCTTGACGCGTATATTCAGCTATTCGAGAGGATCGCTACCACACAAAGGTGGTGTAAATATGATTGGGCAACGGGGCTCAGTATGTGTCTTATGGGGGAGGCATTGGCAGTTTTCAGCCGGATGCCAGCAGCTAGTGGGCTCAATTACGACAAATTGAAGTCACGATGCTGCAATTGTTTCCGACTGACTGCTGAAGGCTTCCGGGAAAAGTTTAGAACATCCACTGTCCCGGGAAAACGAGACTGGCCAGCAGTTTGCCACCCGCCTTTTTATCTACTTCGGTCGTTGTCTCGAGATGGGGAGGATAGAAAGGACATTTGAAGACCTCAGAGACCACATAATAGCGAAACAGTTTTTGACCTGTTGTCATTGGGGAATCACCATATTCCTTAAACAGCGTGACCTGAAGACTGTGGCTGAGCTGACAGAACCTGCAAACCGCTACCTGGAAGCTGAAGTCCAGAAAAAATTTACGAAAGAGAAAGGAAGAAAAAGAGAAGAAAGAACAGACTATAAATATTGTTCAGGAGAATAAAGTGTGTTTTTGTGCCACTCTGTGTCCCCCTTTCTGCGTTCTTTCCGTTTGCTCTAATAAACCGAGCAGGGTGACATCCTGCACACTGACATGGCGTTACCACTAGTGTAGCTTGGTACGTCGGGTCCTGTACTATCTGCCAATGTAGAAATCTACCATCATCTGCTCCCGCCGGTACCTTACAGCCTCTTTCGTGCCCAGCCACACCATTTGAAGTTGTAGGCGCCTGTCTTTATAGCCCCTTTCCAGTCAGTAATACTGGAAACCGCTCGATAGCCACATCTTTTGATGGTTGATTGATTGCTTTATTTGCTTCGTCACAGTACAGTGTAACAGAAGGCGGAGGGAAAAGCCGTAATGACGGCTTGAGGGATCCTCCGCCCCCTTTGTGAACAATGGCAGCAGATGAAGGACATCACAATATCATACACTTTCACATTGTTTTACATAAAGATCATGCCACAAAGGAAGGAAACCTGAAAACGTAGTTGATACATAGCTTACACAACAAAGAAACTTGCAGCAATCTTCTGCACCTGAATAAATACATAGTTTATAGAACATATAACATAGTTTGCTACATAGTTTATAGAACAAAAAGAGCCGCTAATTCTGCGACACTTAAATGAGACACATCTATACCTTTGCTAATATAAGTATTCAGAATTCGCGGTAGAGTACATCGAAGCATCTGAAAACCATAATTAGTGCGAAAGTACGGAACGTTCCACATTTCTGTATTTCTTGTTACATACGCCTTTTCCTTTAAGCAAAGATTCGCCATTTCCGTAAACAAAAAGTTTGCGCGTTTGCAGCTAAGGCAGTACTCTCGTAGTAGTCTGTATTGATATAGGTCATTCACTTTGATTATCTTATATTTTTTAAACAGTGGGTCACTAGATGCTAGAGCTGTAGCGTTGTCTATCAGCCTCAGTATTTTCTTCTGTATTCTCAATAATTTTGTTAAGTTTGTTTCTGTGGTTGTTCCCCAAACCAAATAGCAATAGTTAAGATAAGAACTAAACAGCGATTTGTATATCAATAACTTCACCGAATTGGGGATGAGGTACCGGATACGGCTGAGTATTCCAGTTATCCGGCCTAATTTTATTTGAATATTATTTACGTGGTCATCCCATTGCAAAGAACTGGAGAAATGTACCCCAAGTACTTTCACTGACTTCACTATTTCTATATCTGAGCCTCTAAATACAATATTATTCTTCAAAGTCACTTGTTGACCTTTCGAATGAAAAACTACCGCTTTTGTTTTAGTTGCATTTATTTTTAACTTATTGTTTCTTGTCCAGTTGTCTAACTTCTGTAAGACGTCATTATCTTTATTAGAAAGAATAACATCTGATGATGAGGTGACAAATATACTCGTGTCATCTGCATAGATAATAAACTTAACTTCTGGGGAGATATGGACTATGTCATTAATATTTAAGGTGAATAACAAAGGGCCAAGAATGCTCCCTTGTGGTACCCCTGAAATTATATTTTTCTTATCTGATACTAAATCATTTATCGAAACAAATTGACATCTATGCGCCAGATAGCTTTTAAGTAACATGAGTGGGAGCCCGCGAATGCCATAATGGTTTAATTTTTCAAATAAAATGCCGTGGTGAATGTAGTCAAATGCTTGTGTGAAATCCACAAAAATTCCGACCACTGACGCGCTACGCCAAGACGGTATCCGCCACTACTTGCTCAGCTTCTGGAATTGCCGATTTTATCCTCTGAGCCATTATACTGCGCCATGGTGCTCCACATGTTCTGCTCAGTCACCGTGGAACAGCCTACCTTTCACACTAGAGAACGAACTTTTTTACGCCTCTGGCACAACTAATAAGACCACCTTTACAGTTATCATCCCCTTACTAACGGCCTGACTGAGCAATTTTATCGCACATTAGCAGACATGATCACCACCTATATTGAATCAGACCTCAAGAACTAGGACGGCACTTTCGCCACTTTCGCTTACAATGTGGCTATTCAGCGGGCAACCGGCTACTCACCGTTTTTATCTAGTTACGGACGTACTTCTACTTTCTTTATGGACGTTTCTTTCTTTACCTGCCTCACGAAGTCGCCTCCGTCCGCTTCAGAAAAATACGTTTCATGACTCTCCCAGTGTCGCCAACGTGTTCGTATGCATACTGATGCCCGTAAGCAAGAGAGAAAGCTAGTTTACGATCAATCCTATTGTGCTGTATCCTTTCGACCTGCAGACGAAGTGCTCCTTTTGACGCCTACTCGCTTACCTGGCTTGTGCGACGCGTTTCAGCCACGGTTTATCTGGCCATACACAGTTTTCAAAGAGACTTCACTAGTGAATTATCACGTGACACCTCTTGTACCCCCAGCAGATTACCGCGTAATCGAACCACTGAAGTCATCCATGTCTCCCGTTTGAAGCCCGTCATGCGACGTTCTTTGTCCCCTTGGCCTGCCGCGGCCAGGATTGCAGCTCTCAAGGGGGTAATCAATGTGGGCATTTAGTATACCCATCTTCTCTTTATCTGTACATTATCATAATCATCATGTGTTGTTCATGCATCGTCATCCTTGTCACGTATGAGCATTATCATACTTCGTTCATCGTAGCTGTCAGCTGCTGGTTCACCATGCTTAATGAAGGTCTTCCAAACGAAGACCTCATAATATCGGAGTGATAAAAACCACATTCTTCAATTGTGAAGTGAAGCATACTACAGCAGGACACTCGCCGATGCCTGCATCAGTGAACCATCTGTGACACTGCATCATGGTAACTTTTTTAACTTTCCCATAGGTACCTGCGAGTTTGGTCTAGCAATAGAAACTTCTGTGCATCTTTTAATTCATATATACCCTAAAAACAATATCGCATTACATGGGGGTTTAGTGATTAAAATATATTTACAAATCAGAAATTTGGCTATATAAGATATAGTGAACAAAGTAAAATAAAGTTCTTTAAACTCTCTAAGACAGACATTGCTATAGGGCAGAAAAGTGTAAAGTTTACACAAAATTGTCAAGAAAAAAAAAGAAAATACATTTACAATGAATGAAGAGCAACAATAAATGCATACATGCACAAACACGCACATAAACGATTAATTCATATGATCAAAAACCATTCACCTGGTTTACAAAAGCGACGTAATCAATGATTGAAACGATGTCCCCCGGCAGCGCGTTCCAGTGATGTATGGCTCTAAGTAATGGTGCACTGTTTATACATATTTGAGCGTGCAAAGAAAGGCTGTATTTTGCAGTGGTAATCAATACGTTTGCAAATCTTATGAGGTGTGTTAATGTGGGCTTCGCGAAAACAGAATTTACTATGATAACAGTGTATGAAAATGCTAAAAAATTAACGACAGTCTGCGTTTTTTATGCGAGGGTAATAAAAGTGATTGCTTATTATTTGTAAAGCTTTAGTTGCTAGAATACTTCTTGGTGATGAATCTTGCCACTTTATTTTGTAATAATTCTACTTGATCGATGTGATGAGACTAATTAACGCTGCCGATAATGAACGCGTATTCTATCGTTAAACGCGCAATTCTAATGAGCAGTAGCTTTTTGGTAGTAGAGTTCACCAAGTAAAGGTTTCTTTTATTAAATTCGAGTGTTTTTCGCGCATTACCAGGTAACATATCTTTTTGCTCATTCGAAAATAGGTCACAATTTAAAATAATTTCGAGCATGAACACTTTTAATGGGGTCACGCAGAATTTTATATTGGCTCATTTCTGTTTTATGCGCAATCGTTAATGTTATGGCCTTACTTTTACAAAGGTTACTTTGAATTTGCCACTAATGATACCAAAGTGCGAGTTTATAAAGGTTTGACTTCTGCGAATTCGTTTGCTTCGGTACTGTCATTTTTTTCTGTAAATGAGGCAGTCACCTGAAAATAATCTGGATGTAGATGGCAAAGCAAGTCCAACGTTGATATAAATGAGAAACAAAGTTAGTCCCAGTATCGGTCCCTGGAGAACACCAGTTTTTAAATGTGAAAGTGAAGATGTGTGTCCATTCACATAGACTGATTGGCTGTGGTTGGTCAAAAATTAGTTCTTTATGTAATGGATTTTACTGTTGATGCTCAGATTTGTTAACTTCAGTATTAAGCAGATGTGTGGAACCTCGTCCGATGCTTTTCGCCTATCAATGAATGCAGCGTCAATTTTAAATGAAGCGTGAATGACTTCTTCTAATTCCATTATCAGTTCAAACAGTTGCGTTTCACATGAGTGACCGCGAAGGAAGCTATGTTGATGGTAGGAAAAGAAAGTTTTTTTCGGATAGAAATGTCATTCCGGTAGATTATATGATGCCCCGTAGTAATTTACAGCATATGCTCGTAAGCGAAATGGGATTGTAGTTGAATACTAGGAAGAGATCCCCAGATTTAAAAATTGGAACAACACTTGCAGTTCTCCAGGCATCAGGAAGGCGTCCTGTACCGACCGATTGCTAGAAGTGGCAACTAGAAAAGGGGGTATAACTGCTTCTGTCAGTCTCAAGATTTTCGCGCGAATGCTAGCTGGTCTGGGAGCTGAATTAACTGGAATCCGACCTATAGCTCCCTTTACACCCTCTCTAGTGATTATGAGGTCAGTCATTGAAGTGTTTATTTTTAAAAAAACTTCAGATTCAGTGATAGAAGTTTTTCTGATGTAAAAACTGTACAAGAATGGTTGTTTAGTTCGTCTGCAAAATTGGAGTGCAAAAGCAGCTCAACGCTTTTGCTGTTGGAGTATCATGCTCTACCTCAGTAACCGGCCACTATTAGGCGATGACAACTATGCGGTATCAAGAGCTCCTCATACTTGCGACGTTGCACATCGGTGTAACTACAATATAGGAGTCCTGATTTCTCATTAAGAAACTTTCCTTCTCTTTTTTCTCTAACTGTACGCTTTTCATGAGCGCTTTATTCGAGAGGCCCTCACGCTGCTCTCGAATGAGCGTTTCTCGATCAACCCTCGACAGCTCACTCCAACTTTCCGCTACAGGCGAGAGCGTTGCACCCCTCTCGCTCTGACTCAATGGCATCATGTCGTCTCATCCGCCGACAAAGACTGCTCCAGTCGCTTCAGCGACGGGCCGCTCGAGTGACTGCTCAAATGACTCACACGGAGAATATACCGTCTGAGGTTCCGTCGACTCGCCGCCAAGGTCAGACAGATCAGCATTTTTGCACTTGGTGCTTCCCCACATGACAAAGATCAAGTTCCTGCGAAAGCTTCCGCGCCTGCGATCGCGTTAGGGCTATGTACGCTAAGTTAGAGAATAACGATTTACCCTGCTATTGTCTGCCTTATTGAAACCAATGAAGATAAAAAATTTTACTTCACTATTTTTCAAAATATTAGTTTTTGTTTTTGACAAGTCGTAGTTGTAAAACTTCCCTTTCGGTACATCAAATTCCTGCTTTGCAGACTCTTCACTGTTTACCAAAGCATCCTAGTCGTCGCTCGCATTCAAACGTTTCGTCTTTAAGTACGCTTTTTTGTTATTCCTGGAGCGCTTCACTTGTTTTCTAGACCACGTATTTCTGTTTGAAGACTCGATGGTACTCTTTAAAATATGTTAAGTCATTAAATAGGTGATGAAAAACTTTTTAATGTAACCATGGAACTGAATTCACTGGGAGAGCTTATTGCCTCACTGATTCAACGCCTCCAAAATGTCTAAGAATCCATCCAGAGCGAGTGGAGTTACGAAGAATTGTGGCCTCTTTCAATTACATTCTCTCTTCTTTTGGCCCGACTAAAGTGCTGGAAGCTAAGCAGGGAGTGATGTCAGGGACAAATAAAATACGCCGCGTGCCTCGTAACATTGTGCACTTTTTTTCTTTGAATGCGCGGCTTCTCAGTGTAGCCGCACGCACACGCATGTACAAGTCGTCGCCTTCCACTGCAATTTCTGTAAAGACCAAGCCCGCCATGTTTTAATCAACCAATAGCCGATAGATGACTTTCTACGAGTAATTTTTGAGCGTCTTTCGTCATTTGTCGAGAGAAGAGAATACAATTATAGCTGAGTTTGATTGTATATTGTTAATTGCAGGCCTGTGTGCTGCGCTGTAATGTTTGGCTCGCGTGATCTCGGGAGCCTTTACTACCGATCGGCAGCGTTTACTGACCGTGCTCCAAAAGTGTTGAAGGCCCCCTTTCAGTTCATGTAATGTAGTTCCAAAGATCTACCAATTTTCATTTCTATCGTGATCATAAAATGCCATAAAACACTGTCGATAAAATTATAATATGTCACTATGTTGTTGGTGTACATTGGCTTTGTTGTGTTCGCATATCGTTTTATTTGTTTTGCAAAGCTTTTTACATTTTATGGTGAACTCGCAGTGGATATCAATGCCATTACTCGAGCAGTTAAGGACTCGCCATGCCATGCTTTGTGGGTCTGTAGTCAGCGCAAGATCTAACAGTGAAATTCCTCGCGTGGGCCTTCTCACCATACGCCCTAAACTAAACAAAAAAAGAACATCAAGGAACTACCGGCATTTGTGCTTTCTTGCGCCATCGATAGGTTTACATCGCAGTCAGTCGATTCCGGTATATTTAAAATTCCCTGCTTGTATAATTTCTGATTACGCATACTTCCTTTAATTAACGTTCAGCGATCATGAAATATTTCAACAAAACTAATCAAACTGAGTGGCCCATAGAAAACTCCCACAACGCAAGTCACCGAAGGCGATACCTGCCACAAGATCCACAATATATCAGCGTCACACAAAGTGTCGACAATGTGCCCACTTAAATTCTTATCTACAGCAATAATCACGCTAACACTTCGCGATGTAGATCTATCTTTTCTAATTTAAGAAAAACATGACAGCAAATTTTCACTCTCAGCTATGTCAGCAGTCAGAAAAGTATCGGTATGGAGGACTGCATCCGCGGAACAGCATTCAATAAAAGTGTGCATGTTATCCTGTTTGTTTGAGACGTCTAAGTTTGATACTATGCTTAATAAGGTACGATTAAGATGGATTTTTTCGCGTAACTTGTTTGTCTCACTAGAAAGGTGGCTTGAGAGCACTATCACTTCGTTATAGATGAATCAAACGCATACTGCTTATTAGTGATTTGTGAATTTATGATTGTTGACAACTTCGCTCATTTAATACAAGCAGGAATATGATGCGCGTTTTCACTTACTGTATGCTGTTTCTCACGCAATAAAATTCAGTTGTAAATCAGCGACAAGTAAATTATTAAAAACTCACTTTTTTTACATAAGTGTGAGGGCACTGCCAACGGTTCACATATATTCTCAGTAAATTTAAGCTGGTGAGTCTCTATGCTTGAAGACTTTGTACTGAGCTTAGCTCTAGACAAACTCGTCCTCACAATCGCTCTGCTTTATCCTACAGTGTTTTTCAAACGCGCCTTTTTACGCCACTAGGCAGCTGTGCATTCTCTAAAAGAGTGCACTCTTCACAGGTGAACTGGAGGCGCGGATGACCGACGCTGACGCGACGCACGTCGTCACTGATTCACCCAACGCAGAGAAGGTTGGAAAAGTGTGCGACCAGATCAGCCTGAGCGACGAGGTGCGTATATGTTCGCTTCTCTCCGGTTCAGTCATGCGACGATAGATTACTGAAAGTGCACACTGTTTGTGGGCCGACATCGAGACAAGCCAGGTATCACATGTCGTCACGCGGGTGATGCGACAAAATGCAACAGCAACTGATTATATATCGTTTCATGTATTCTATGTGTCTTGAGTTTATCACGTAAGTGAAGCCTTCTGTATGCTCACTTACTTAGTATTGCTTTAGTCAAGACCTCGACTAGCATTGCGTCATAGGAAAGCTGCAGTCACCGAGCACCTCGAGGCCTCATATACGCTGATGTGGACGGTGTCCTATGAGTTGCGCAAAGATTCTGCATCGGCGGGACATATGATGGCTTGACTATCCGTAGGTTCCCCGAGTGATTCAATTCGGATATCTCGTTTCTAAATCAATCGCATAGAAGGGTGATGACATGATACACAAGCACAAGCGGCGAAGGGCGCACTAGTTTGTACATGACTCCAAAATTCCTTATTTTTGCTGCTTCAAAGAGCAAATATTTTGACACTATAATAAATCATACATTTGTCTTGGCACATATTTTAAATAGATTACAAATCACCCTAAATATGGAAGAATCCTGATGAATTCTACCTTTCATTTCTAGGAATAGCAGCGCACAACTGACCCCCGTGGTTCCGATACAAAGAGACGGAAAGTAAGCGTTGCACGTGAAACGTTGCCGAGTGCACAAAACGTTTTTCTATCACGTTTTTTAGCAGTCCATCTGCTTCGCCATTGATGTGTGTCATATTGTGGTTGGTTGTAATATTCTGTCACCAAACGCTTTTTACAATATTGTTATACAACATTGAGTACGAGAGAGCATCATGCAGACGATAAAGAGGACAAATGTGATCGCGCTTGTGTTGTTCTTGTTTTGTCATATAGCGGAAGGTCGAAATGGTGGATGAGACGGTGATGTCGCGAAAGTTTGTGTCAGCATCGCAGAGCGTGAAGACGCGTTCATTGGTTTATGACTGCTGAGAGAGTTTTATCACCGTGTGACAGCTTCAGAGCACGGCTACATGGCGCCGTCTGCATCGCTGGAATGACCGATTATTTGTAAATATATTTTTTCATTCACACTTTCACCGCCGTGACATTTAGTGGCGCTAGTGGATGTAACACGATGTAATGGAGCTCCGCCGCGACCAAAGTTTGGATTTTTTCGGCCATGGAAAACCAGAGGCCCACTGCCACTGAGGCGTCCACTACAACAGCTGTTGTCTTTCCGCAGGTAAAAGATCCCGGCATGTTCTGTGGCATCGATAATGTTGACATCCAAGAATGGTTGTTGTCATACGAACGTACAAGTCAGAATTACCGCTAAGATTCAACTCTTACGTTGGTCGACCTCCTGTTCTTCTTGAAAGGAACAGCAAAAGTGTGATTCGAGAATCATGAAGAAGAAATTTGAAGCTGGGATGCGTGCAAAAAAATATGCGTGCCCTTTTCGGCAAGTCTGCGGCTAGGAAGGCAGCGACCAAGAAAAAGCTAACATCTCGTGCGCAAACGTCAGCAGAGTCTTACGTGACTTACAAGCAATACGTGCTCGTCCTTTGTCGAAAAGTCTACAACGACACGGAAGAAATCGAGAAACTAGCACACATAGTGTAAGACATTGCAGCTGATGCGTTCAACCTTCTCATACGCAAGGACTCCAGGTGAGAACACAGTGGGTACCAGCGGCTTGAGGCTGCAAAAAGTTTATGTATAACCAACCATTTCACTCTACTTCCCAACACAGCAACAACCTGGCCGTGCGAAGATGGGCATGTGCTACAGAAGCCGCTAACTGCAGAGCACGCGACGAAAATTATCACATGAGAGCTTCAAGCTCTGTCTCCTGCGTCCACGTGATCCCATGCCTGTAACTATAGCCCTCAAATTATGCCACTGATACATGCCACTGAGCGACAAGAGCGTTCCCATGCTGCACTTTCCTCCGAGTGCAGTACAGCTCCCTCTCAGCCGATCGACCGTCGTCGATCCCTTGTTTCACATGCCTAAAGTCACAACCTTTTGGTGCGCCCTAGCAATCCAGCCAAATTAAGAACCTGTGACGGTTGTCCGATTTGCTTCAACTGCCGCCGTATCAGACACGTGGCCTACCATTGTAAGACATGGTGGTGTCTGCATCAGGCATCATATGTGTACAACCATCGCCCAAAGAGAGATCATGAGCGTTTTACCCACCGGGAATCACATCACGCCACCAGCGAATGAGTTCTTTCTATGCTGCCTTATCGTCATCGTTCTCTGTCTCAACAGGCTCACCAGTCGCATTCGCAGCTTTTCCGTCAGTCGTTACATCTCTCGCCCCAATTTTGCTGTCCAACGTCGCGGCCAAAACACCTGCCGCGGGAAAACTACGTGATGCATCTCCCGGAGGTGATGTTGCATCGACCACTTGCCTGCCAAATCTTCGGACCACGCCACCGTCTAGACGCAACCTTATTGACGTTGAAGTAGACAGCACACCCTTTGTTGCACTTGTAGACACATGGCCGCATATCAGTTAAAAATTCAGAACATCGTTGCCGCCTTAGGAAAGTTTTAATGCCACCCACAGTACCACTAAACCAGATCCCCAACCAGGGCACGTTTCTCGTGCTTACAATGTGCTCTGCGTGTATTTGCAACTTTCATCGCCTAGAGAGCAAGCAACTATTTGCAACTTTCATCGGCTCTGGTGCAAGCCCAACATAGATGTCATTTGGGGGATCGTGCAGCCGGCGTGCTGGCAACCGCCAGTGGTGTGCCCGTCACTTAGACTTATGTAGTATTTCCGGCTGCAGCACCCATGTTGTCAAGGCTTTGCCGATAATGTCATTAACTCTAGCACGTATTATATCCCACCCTGCGTGTTGAGAAATGCCTGTGCGGTGTATATTAAAGGAAAAAAAGTTTACAACACCAGGCACATTGTCTGATGTGGTGTACAGCTTTGTGAACGCTGCTCGTGCCATGGCCGGGGAAGACCAAGTGGCCGTGCTCGTGCAAAGCAGGAAATCTCGCCTTTGAATGCACGGTGTCTGCACAGCATCCAACATATCTTGGGACTTTTCTAGCTCAGCAAGCAAGCAATAAAGCTCAAGTCAATGCTATCAATGCTACTACAACTCGCAGTAACTGTCTGACTTCACAATAACTGTAGTAAAAATTCCCAGCGACAAGATATAAAGCACCAGCAAGCCGCCAAAGTTCGGTCGACTGAACGATGGCATGGGCTGGCTGCGTGAGCATCCCCTAAACGACAGTTACAACGGATGCCACATGGCGACGCCAGCATCTGTGAAAGCTGCGAATATGTGTTGCCAATCGCTCCACTGTATACTGTATTATATGCTGTGCTCGAAAAATGCTCCCACAAACTTATCCTCGACACAGACTTTGCCCACTCTGCTCTTATTGATTGTGGAACAAACATGCTTGAACTTGATTTACCGTGTTACCATGACGACCTAACCCCAGCTCAACCACGCCTGTGTTGTGTAGATCACGTTCGCTTAGCACCTCAAGCCGTTGCCTACGTGAACTTCTGTTCATTCATTTCCCGATGAACTCTGTTCATTCATTTCCCGATGGTCATTACATGTTGAAAGAAAGTTGAAAGTTGAAATTTATTTCACCACAACGATACACCGTGATTTACACAAACAAGAAACAATTGTGGCATGGAAAGTAGGAAAAAAGCTGCGCTATAGCAGCTTGACTAGCCCCACCTCCCATTTGTACAAGGCAACAGAAACAATGGCACACCAAGCTCCATACGGTGCTCACGTATTATTGAAAGAAAAAAGAAAAGAAATAACATTCTAGTGGTTGTTTATGAAGTACAGAATAGATGCACACTTGGGTGTTTACAAACAAACAATTTTTGGGGAAAAAGGCAACCAATATAAGACGCTATAACAGAAAGGGGTACACTTAAAATTTCATGCATTTACAAGTACTGGGTGTAATTTTTCTGGGTTTATAGTTCCTTATACAAACAGGTTTAATATGTCACTACTTGAAAGGAGACGCAATTGCTGTTCTGTGAGCTTGAACTTATTTAGTATATGAGGAACAGAGTGCTTTAGCATTTGGAGTCCGTAATTTGTTCGCGGTCGGGCGATGTGCCAGTGTTCAGAACTCCGCATCGGACGCAACAAAATTTTCGGCTGTAAATGTGCTAAGCCTCTCAGGTTTGCGCAATTCTTTCGAATTTCAGACCTCAAAGACAACAACAAGTTATGTTCATATGCCACACAAAATTTTAAAACTTTAAACTTGACAAATAAATGGGATGTGTGTTCTCTGTAACCTATATTTGCAACAGCCCGCAAAGCGCTTTTTTGAAGTGTATACAACTTTTGTTTTGATGTTTCAGTTCCAGAAGCCCATACCAACTGACAATAGCGTAGATGAGAACAAAAAAGCGTATTAAAGATAAGAAGTTCTGGGGGAGCGGTAGAAACGACTGACACCTTCTCAGCACGCCAAGGGCTTTTCTTAGCTTAATACACAATTGTTCAGTGTGAGAATTCCAGAACATATGTTGATGAAAGATGACGCCCAAAGTTTTGACAGTCTCTGAAAGTTCGATATTGAAATTATTTAGCATCAGTTTTTGTGTGTACGTACATGTTATTCCTTTCGCACGGAAAAGAATGGCCTTGGTTTTAGAGCTGTTGATCTGTAACGAATTTTGGCAGGACCATTTCGAAAAATTGACTAACGTTTTATTAGCTGCTTTTATCAAATCGTCTATATTTGTTCCCGTAAAGAATAAGCTTGTATCATCTGCATAAATAATGTACGTTATTGAGTGATCCACATTTACAATATCATTGATATAAAGGTTAAATAGAAGAGGTCCTAATATGCTTCCCTGTGGTACACCGCGTTTGATTTTTTGGGGCATAGATGTTTGCCTATTTATAGACACACACTGGTACCGATAACTAAGGTAGCTTCCTAATAAA